ACCGTGCGTTGCAGTGCGCGCGATCACACTGTGGGTGGGAGACGTGTTTGGTGTGTTAATTAAATGAATGGCACTGCAAGGCACCTCCCGCAGCAGAATTTGTCAGGCCGAAACCAAAAATGACTTTTTTCCCACCTTTTTAGAAATTCATTTTAATAATTGTAGTGTAAGCACATGGTGCTGGAATAGCTTCAGCCGGGGAATGACAGCTGCCGGGGGTAAGATTCCGCAGACAGAATGTAAATACAGCAGGTAGTGGGTGGGTGCAATAACCAGTCTATTGGCCATTTCTAATTGCAATAGCCAATAACAGGCTGACTATTGCACCCGCCCACTGCTTGCTGTGCGCTCCTCCCAGCGTGGAGGAGACATCTAGGGGATCCAACCAACTAATCAATAATGAGAATAGTTGACAATACCTAGACAAAAAGGTGCAGTTAACCCTTACATTGCAGGGTAGCCCCACTGCAAGGGTTAATAAAATATTTTCCTGGATTTCGTCTGCTTCCCTGTTTTCGGTGTAGATAACGCAGAGTGGCCGTTCTCTCAGCAGTCATCCTGCGCTATTTCTCTCTTTTAGCTGTGGGCCTCGCAGTTATTTTAAGATGTTTTGTATGATTAAGCTGTAATGATGATTTCTCCTTATGTGACAAAAATAATGTTTGGGTGGTGTGGGGGCTGCATTGCCATCTGGACCACTTGGCTGTTTCTTTTGCATTCGATCCAGTAATTCCGGGCCTCGTGCGTCTGTTTAATTGAGAGACGTTAGTTGGACCGGGCGGTCCAGATTACAGCTGCGTATGGTTTAGCAGGTTCACTGTTTATCCAAGGGCAGAGCCAAGAAAAGCTCACACGGAGGAGGCAGGTTGCCACTGTTAACGCTTCCTCCTCCTCCGCCATGCCTCCAAGCCAGTGTCAGGATTAGACGTATGAATGGACATTTCATGCTAGGTGTTTAAATGAATGAGCTCTTCATCATACAGCTCTTCAATTGCTGGCTTCCCCCCCTTTTTTCTCTTATTATGGGATCTAGGGCACATTAATTGTAATATTTGTCGCCTCGATATGTCTTGTGGTTGGATACCTGTCCCTGGATGACCTAGATGCTGCACATCCCAATATTCGCTCTCCTCCTCATCAGATGCTGTGTTCTCATGAGAAGCTGTGTGTGTGACTTGCTGACGTCAGTGCTTCAGATAGGTGCCATCTCCCTGGCACATCACAGCTAGGGTAGAGATCTCTGTGTAACATCGAAGGGTAACCATGTGCAGCATTTATTCGATCAGTGGTGATGCTCATACTGTGTTAAAGTAGGACTCCAGGTAAATAACACATTGTATGTTCATTCATATTCATTTGTATTCCCATTTCTGCTTGCATGCCAGCCAAGTCTGAAATGGAGATAACATTGCTTGAGTGTGTGAAGGTCAGGTTCTGGAGTGTTGGAAGGGAGTTTAATCAGATGTTATGTAAGGAAGGAGCTACTGGAGACAAAGACTGTCTGCTTGCACCAAAATACATTCTGTAGACACCGACCATTAAAACGGAATACTTTCTAGGTATTGAACAGCCTGTATTCAACATGGAACTGAGCCCAAAAAGTGAATGTTTCCTGTATTACATTTGCCATTTGTGTCTAAGCTGTAGCCTAAAAATGAACTTTTTTTTTTTTGTCTGGAGTTCCAACTTTAAATTGGCACTGCCCTTCCTGGTATATGAAGGTGCCTATGCTCTCCTGTGCCCACAGCCTCATAGCTATATATCTGCAGTGTGAGATCTAAGGCACTGCTGATATATAGCTGCTTTTATTATCAGCAGATTTGATGATGTCACTACTGTGCTGCTCATACCCGGACATACAGCCCTGCCTCTACCAAGATGGCCGCCTCCATGCAGAGGCTGATTTACTAAAGCAGTTAGGGTTTACACAGATTTTGTTAAAATGAACTTCACTTACACAATCGTGCAGATAAAATAAGTAAACAGGGTTTTGCTTTTCACATGATTGTATAATTGAAGTGACGCTTTGCTCAATTTGTGTGAGCATTCTGAAATCCTTCAGTAAATCAGCCTTTACAAGCCGTAGTAAGCCATCAATGGAGAACGATCAGCTGTGGGGAAATCGATGGTGATTCTGCTGACCGGTCGTTTGTCCTTTTGCCCGCCTCTTTTTTTCTGATTAGCAGATGACTACATGCTACTGACTTGACTGACTTTAATGATTGGCTCATTCAGCTGCTTGCCAGCAGTTTCTGAGACAGCCAGTCAGACATAAGGGAGCGGGAAAGGCGTTCTGTTATTTGTGCAATGTAAATGTCAAGAAATGATTTGCACCTGTTTCAAGAGACGCCAGAAGTGAAAGCAAGAACAATCTGCAGATCGATATAGAGATCAGCATTTCATGTGTTATATTAAACTGAGGTGTCTGTGAAGGTTCTCATTTATCCAGGTCATGATGTAACTAGAAGTGATCGATCACATTCACTTGGACTTGTTTTATAATGTTAAAGTGACACTAAGCTCAGGAGTTCAACTTTTAAAAATGCATTCAAGTCCCCTAACAACAATAAATGTATCTTATTTGTGTATCACTCGGCTGTAGATCCTCCAATCATCTCTGAATTGGTGCTGACACTTTCCTTCCTTCTGGAGGGGGGCTACTTGTGTTCCCTATGGTCTGTGTGTGTGTGTGTTGTCTTCCGGCGAAAGCAGGCGGGAAACCCCGCCGAGAATCATACGATTCTCGGCGGGTTAGTGGCGTGCTCACTCGACAACTGCCGACGTTCAGCATTGCAGTCATCGCGAGTACGATCTGCCTGTCCAAGATGGGCAGATTGTACTTTTTTTTTTTTTTTTAAATTACTTTACAACCCTCTGAAGACAAAAGTCTTGCGAGGATTGTAAAGTGTATGGCCACCTTAAGGCCCCGTTCACACCTGAGCGGTTTACCGCGCGTTCCTACGCTCGGTTAAAAGGCACAACAGGTGAAAACCCATGTTTGCCTATGGGCATGGTTCTCACCTGCGCGTTTTACCGCCCGTTCGACCGCGTGGTAAAACGCCATACGCCCTAAGAAGTACATGAGCTTCTTTGGGGCGTATTAACACCTGTATCCCGCTGTTATCAGCCGGATACCCCCTCGGAAACTCGCGTTTGACCGCTTTTCTTTTACTGCAAATCGCGGTAAGAAACACGCAGCAAACGCGAGTTTCCAATACGCTATGGTGTCAACCCAGACTTAGACCGACAACTGCATGAAATGAGAATATGAACCACAATAAGACTCTTCTTATTGATATGTTCCACTTTCGATTTAGTGCCGCCTATTGGGTAACTAATTGGAAAGGTAAACCTCTGAAACATGTTCGGTTTCTTCACAACACCTGACAAGGAAGAAGTCTGCATTTTATTCTGTTGGGTTACAAATGCTTTCAGTTTAACCCCAGACTTAGTTTTCATGGCTTGCTCACATAGCACAAGACTGCTGCGGCATTTCACTAGTAATAAAATAACGTTTTCTATTTACACATCTCCGGGAACCATAAAAAAGTGACTTGTATGAACACAGGCTGTGCAATAGCTGCCATCAGAGCCAGAATAGAATGGTGCTTATCATGGCCAGAGGTTGTTTATTAGGGTTTTGTACTATTGATCTGTCTGTAGAATATGAAAATATTTGGAGTACATCTTGGCTGACGGACATTAAAGGGTCAGTCCCAACAACACCGTCATTTTAGCTGTTCATGGATGTTGGGAAATAGAAAAGCCCGCATTGTGTTTTTCCCTTTGCAGGTACTTCCCTGATCTACTTCCATTTCAATACGTTTGTTGAGTTTTGGAACAAAAAAGATAAGTGGCATCGACAACAAACAATTCAAGGGGCTATAGATGCATTATATTGCCTAAAGTATTGGGGCACCCCTTCAAATCATTGGATTCAGGTGTTCCCATCACCTCCATGGCCACACGTGTGTAAAATCACGCACCTAGGCATGCAGACGCTTCTACAAACATTTGTGAAAGGATGCGTCACTCTCAGGAGCTCAGTGAATTCAAGCGTGGTACCGTGATTGGTTGCCACCTATGCAATAAGTCCATCCATGAAATTTCCTTGCTACTAAATATTCCCCGGTCACCTGTTTAGTTGTATTATAGCAAAGTGGAACTTGCTATAATGGGAACTGGGAACTTGCTGTTGTTCCCAGTGCAACTGGGAACAACAGCAACTCAGCCACAAAGTGGTAGGGCCACGTCGGCGCATGTTGAAGTGCGCAGAGTCAATAACTACAGACCTCCAAACTTCATGTGGCCTTCAGATTGGCACAACAACAGTGTGTAGCGTGGGAAGCTCTGGCCCTCCAGCTGATATGGAACTACAAGTCCCATGAGGCATTGCAAGACTGACAGTTGCAGGAATGACTCCCAGAGTCATGTTGTGATTTGTAGGTAAAGCACAGCTGGAAGGACAGAGTTGCTTACCCCTGATTTTAAAATGAGTAAAATATCCCTCCATGTTTGTGCTCAGTGGGCAGACCTGGGGGTTGAGGCCAAGAGAAACGCCCCATAGATGAGAGAAGCCAGAAAGGGTGTATCGACATGGCAGTATCTACCAAAACCCGAAATAGAACTTTAAAGGGACTGTTCCTTTTAAATGATCTTGTGTATTATGATTGAAAGCCAGAAGTAGACACAGACTGTGCAAACACATTGGGCGGAATTTATCAAAACTGGAGCAGACAAAATGTGGAGCAGATTTGCACTGCAGCCAATCAGCTTCTCTCTCTCCTTTTCAAATCTTACCTGAGAAAACTGAAGAGAGATGGTGATTGGTTGCCATGGGCAACTGCTCCAGATTCTGTTTGCTAAATCCCCCCCATTATGTATATGGCATTGTTTAGATGCTTGGAGTGTGAATACGTCCTATTTCTGCCCCTGTGAGTTGAGAAGTGTGAGACGTTATTATATAATGCTTTAATATTCTCTTTTCTTTGTGCTTCTAGCTTTTGTCGGGCAGTTCTGACTTGGACAACCTAGATGAGATTCTGGATGACTTGCAGAACAGCCAGATAAACCAGCTCACTTATCCGGACACTCGACCTGATGCTAACTCTGCTGATAAACAAGCTATCATCAATGACCTGATGCAGATCGCTGGTGATAATGGCACAGCCCTACCTCCTGGAGTCCAGCGGCAGCGAATTCTCCGGATGCCACAGCACTGTAAGTCACAGACCTTCATGTAGGATTTCCTTTTCCCGATTGTCTCTGCAAGAACCAAAAGCTTGTTTTCAGTTTTGATTCAAAGTAATTGTTCTGTATAAACAAGCAGCGCCCCCTGATGTATACCCAGGGAACTGTACGGTAGCTGGGAAACTGCTTGCTTTGCACTATGCCATTGTAAGGGTGGCCAAGGAAGAAGTCTGTTTGTCCTCCTTGATTAATGTGCCACATGCACAGCCTTTACAGCACTCCGCTGGTATATGCATATGGCACACATTCACATTCATTGCATTGCTAGAAAATGGAGATTTAGCCATCTCTTTGGCAAACCTCTTTGTGTGGTCACAAGGGCGCACGACTTTTAGAAGTACTTGTTATTGCTTGGTAGGTAACCTTTTTATGGTCCACATATTGAGAGGCCTCTATTGTTCATATGGGTTGCCAATATTTTGGTGTCCAAGCATTATTAATCATGCAGCACATGTGGAGAAAAAGACAATTTGTCTGACTCGCAGGTCAATGTTGCTACAGGTGTAAGAGCCAGCTTGGCCATCTTTAACCTCATTGACACTGGCTGTGACCTGTATTACATTAATAGCATCAAGTGACGTCTCACAGATTTCTCAAACACATGGTGGCCACTTTTCCCACCTGAATGTTTGTGGCTGCAAACAGGGATATTGTGCTGTGACATGCCTGAGAAATGTGAGTGAACTGGCGCTCTTACTGGGCAAAGGAGGCGCATGAGTATAAATGCTTGGGCCCTAATATAAAATTATTAGGGTCCCCCGACGTTTATACCTTTTGCATAAAGGAGAACCTATCATGATATTTAAAATGATTATCGGCTGAAGAGCAAACACTGCACTTTATTTTCAAGTCCCTTTTTATTGTTTTTCAGATTCAGATCTCTTTTCAAAACCTAAACTTTAAAATGATTTGCCATCATTCACCATCCCACAATCCAATTAGTTTGCCACCATTGGCAGTGACTATTCATGAAAGGTAAAACAAGAGCTGATATAGGTGAATTAGAGGTGGACAGTAATTGGATTTGGAACCACAATATTTATTTTTTTTCCGATCTGCAGGCTACTGCATATGACATTTCATTCTTTGGAAGCTATGTGCTCTTGTGGTCCTATAAAACATCACACTGACACCGTGTGTCCACTTCTGGCCTGATATACAGTGTAATGCCCTTGGTACTCATGTTTGGTTACTTGTGAGAACAAGAATGCTTTCTGTGCACACAATTATATTGTATGTTTTTTTTTTGTTTCTGCAGTGTTCAGTAACCCTCGTGCAGGACAGCTACCGCTTGGGAGAATATTACCAAACCAGAGTCTACAACTGGAGATGAATTTACAGAACCAGACCACTGCAGGATCCTTCCAGCCAATGAGGAATACCAGCCCATTCTCTGCCATGCAGCCCACTGGGATGATGAGCAACCAAGGCATGATGGGAGGACAGGGAGGTGTTGGCAATAGTAGTCCTGGTAGGTTTCATTTCACCTGGATGGTTCTAAACTTCACAAAGTATACATATGAAGTCTTCTAAATTATGTTAATACTTTAACCAAGGCTTACAGTTTGAGGCTTGTCAGTCTCTGCTCTGGTTGGGATGTGTGCTGTACAAGCAATTGATTAAACAACGTTGCCTTAGGTCTGGGGTAGCCAAACTCCGGCCCTCCAGCTGTGGTGACACTACAAATCCCATGATGCATCTCTCTCCGGGAAACGTCTGTGGCTGTGAGACTCTTGCAATGCCTCATGGGATTTGTAGTTCCACCACAGCTGGAGGGCCGGAGTTTGGCTACCCCTGCCTTAGGTGAATGGATAATACCATTAATCAACATTTTTTTTCTAGGGGTGACTTAAGACGAGATCTCACTTTTCCTCTCTACTATAGTGCTAAATATTCACATATTGCTTAGAAACCAGTTAACGTAAAACTATGATATGAGCTTATTTCTGTGCTCAGAGCAGGAAAGCTTCAGCAGACGATGTCTGGACCTATGGTAATAGCCTCTCCATCAGAAGGTGTTCCAGAACATATGATTGGGTCACCTGCTGTGGATTTATTAGCATCTCAGTTCATCAAGAAGCTGGGCAATTTTTGTACTTGGGTCCCAAAAGTAAATTCAGAGTGCACCCTCGTAGTGCCATGGCATCCATATGCCATGATCTCCTCCTTACCTTCTCTTAAGCTATTACCCGTTTCTCAGCCCTGGCTTTGCCGACTTGCTTGTCGAAACCCAGGTTCTGCGAGACAGGGGTATAGCAGTTTGTTATCCCAGCCATGCTTTAAGGCAACTAAATCTGCTTCCCACAAGATTTATCATTGCAAAAGGCTTGTTACTGGTATGAAGCTTTGGAGGTTTTCTCTTTTTTTTTGTGCCTTTTGCAGTGGGCCATGTTTCTTTCTTCCAGTTGGGGGTACAAAAATGAGTTAATATCGGCAAGGGACAGGTGTCTCTCCTGTTCTTTTTCACTGCTTCGTACTCCCTTTTATTTGGCACCCACTTCAACCATAGGATTTAAATCTAGTATTGATGGTGTTACATAGACCCATGTTTCATTCTACTTTGGAAATTTCTTTTATCATCCCATAAGGTAGCTTTTTTTTGTGGCCATCACCTTGGGTAGGCCCTAGTAGTGTCTCTGTGTAAAATCTAAAAGGAGTTTCTTACAGGGCAATGCTAATAACACAAACTGTTTTGATGCAACAATCTCCTTTTTGCCCAAGATGGTATCTGCTTTTCACTCTAATAGTACATTGTGTGAACGTTGTGTTCAGCTTTGGTTTACCCCAAAGAGATCCCTCTCTATTGTCTGGATGTAGTGAGGGTTCGTCAAGAGTCCGCTCTCGGCCACTGCTTTTAGGCAGATGGATTCAGTTTGCTATTCCAGAAAGTTCACCTGCTTCCAGATCCACTATGGAAGAGGTTCGCCTGCTTCCAGATCCACTATGGAAGAGGTTCGCCTGCTTCCAGATCCACTATGGAAGAGGTTCGCCTGCTTCCAGATCCACTATGGAAGAGGTTCGCCTGCTTCCAGATCCACTATGGAAGAGGTTCGCCTGCTTCCAGATCCACTATTCTAAGTAAATGAGATAAAATGCCTCCATTTTTCTGGTAAAGCTCAGTCCACTAGAGCAGTGAGTACTCTTTCCTCCAAGTCTTTGTGTCTCAGATCTGTATGACTGCATCCTAGTCTTCTGTATCTTCTGTAATAATCTTGTTATAATGTGAGTTATTTTTAAATGTTTCTTTTACATTTTGTTTAGATATATTTCTTTTGATTTTGTATTTTCATTTTATTTATTATAGTTTTTAAACAATAGATTTCAGGGTGTAATTTATATTCCGTTTCTTTTGGTTCTCAGCACTCTTCCAGAAGCTGAGAGTGTTGGTTTTCTCAATGGCTTGTGTAGGGCTCTATTGTTAGTATTGAACTGTGCTATAGTGTGATTCATAGGATGTTTGCTGCTCATACAAAATGATCAGGAAACTGATGTTCTGTCTTGTTCCAGTATATCTGTTACTTCTCTGTTCCCATACTTTTTCTCCCCTATTTTTCTCTACAACATTATTTTGATAACACATAAGTGAGATTTAAACAAAAAAAAAAATGTCTCTTTCAGGGATGATGGGCGGTAATGGTCCTCGACCATCTTTACAAACAACAGAGTGGGGATCACAGGCTTCAGGAGTCAGGGCAGGCTGTCCGACCACAAACAATGCTATGAGCCGGCCCATGCAGGGCATGATTCGCAGCCCCACCTCGAATATGCCTATGAGACCAAGCAATCAGACATGTCCAAGGCCTATGATGCAATCGAATGTTATGAACATGGGTAAGTTGGATCAGGTCATTTCTCTGGTTTATGTAATGTAATTCATATGCCAAGGTTTTTTTTGTTTCTTTAACTACATAATATGTATAAATGATAGCTCAAGCTAACCAAATGGGTGTTTCCAACTTATTGCTGAGCTGGAAATTTGTGGCTCTCTAGCTGTTGCTGAATGCCTTTTGCTCACTGTTTAGATTGTCACTTCTGGTCAGTATGTAGTATGACCTTACATGGCCTAGTTCATTCTAAATATTGACTGTACCGGAACTTCGAGGCTGTGATTGCTTTTTGCAACTCAATGTCTTCCTGCTTAGACTCACAATGTGGGAAAGCCTGGTCATTTTAGGTTATTGACCATTATCAATATGGGCTGCCTTAATATTAGAAATGCATGTGTTCGATTATCCTCGGGATTTTAAAATCTGTAATGTAACGGGTCACTTTTGTTTTTAGGGGCTTCTGAGCTGGATATGAACATGGCTGGAGCTCAATACACCCAGCAACAGGCTCCTCCCAATCAAACGGCACCATGGCCTGACAGTATTCTGCCTATTGATCAAAACTCTTTCAACAATCAGAGCAGGTAAAGGATCTGATTTGCTAGAGAGCGGTAGAATGTTACCTAGAAGTCGTGACCAGGGCACAGACTAAACAAAGCTTAAAAGTCTTCATGTTCTGTTTCTTTGTGAACAAAATGCCATAAAATCAAAAATGTTCTTTTCCAGACAACAGTTTGGTTCACCTGAAGACTTGCTTTGTCAGCGTCCTTCATCTGAATCCCCGACAGAAGAGGGAAATCTTCTGGATCAGCTGTATATGGCACTGAGAAATTTTGATGGCTTGGAGGAGCTTGACAGAGCGCTCGGAATTCCAGAGCTAGTCAGTCAGGTTCGTTTTCTTGTAGTGTGCCATTGCAATGCACAACTTTTCATGTGGATAAAAATGTATATGGGTCGGTCCAGAAAAACACATAAAAAGGATGTAAACTTTGAAGTAACAAAAATACAAATACAGCTGCAACTTTTAGTCATATTCAATTGGCAATTAGGAGTAAGTGCCAACAGTTAGAGGTGTGGCAGCACTCTGATCAAAGCAATTTACAGAGGTAAGAGATTGCCAGTAAAAAATGTCAAGACGAGGAGCAGTCTGAAAAATTAACGTGGACAGCCAGTCAGTGGCAGGGAAAAATACCTGGAGTCAGTAGTCAGTAGTCAGTGGTATGAAGAAATTGCTGGTTGTTGGTGTATTTGGGAGGAAGAATGCCCTAACGTCAGTGAAGCTGGGGGGGGTTGGGGGCAACATTGATGCATCTGTAAAAGGAGTATGGGGGAAGGGATCGAGGGGATGACATTGCTGCTCAGCAGGAGGTGGGGGGAACAATTGTGATGAGCAGGTGGTGGTGTGAACAATAGTGTCCATTGGGGGGACAGTAGGACAGTAGGGCTTGGTTGGTGGAACAGTACCCAGTGGAACTATATTGTCCAGCAGTGGAAGAGTAGTGCTGAGAGGCAAGTAGGGGGAACAATAGTGACCAGCAGAAGAGGGAGGGGAGAACAATAGTGCTCAGTTGCTGGCTGGCCGAGTAGGGGGGGATGCTGAACAACAGAATAATTCCCTCTACATTGGTCATTGCATCATTTATAATGTACAGCTTCAATGGTATTATTTTGCACTGTTCAAGTTAAGAACATGTATTTCTCTTTTCTTTTCTCAGAGTCAGGCTGTTGATCCAGAGGCATTTCTCAGTCAAGAATCAAACCTGATGATGGAACAAAAAGCAACTCTCTATAACCATGTGTATGCAGCTCAAGGGCAGATGCCTCAGAACAGCTATGCTCAGATGCCTGATCCAAATTTCCACCCTATGGGCCAGCGTCCAAACTATGGTATGCTGCGCATGCAGACACGACCTGCAATGAGGCCCACTGGAATGGTGCAGAACCAGCCAAACCAGTTAAGGCTCCAACTACAGCATCGGCTCCAGGCACAGCAGGTATCCACTTTTGTGATTACATCTTAGCTATATGACATACTTTCGTCCGTCAGTAAGAAACTGTGACGAGCACATTCATTTATGACCTAAAACTGCTGGTTGCCTTGCTCTGTATACTTCAGTATTTAGAATAGTAGAGTTAGATTTTCAAGTGCTCACTTTATTCACTGATGACAATCTTCACCTGAAACGGCAGCATACAAACGTCAGGTCCCGGCAGCATGCTGCATAGAAGACTGCTTCTGTCTGTGTGTGAGTAGTGGTTCGACATGGCCTTCCTGCCAGGTCACAGATATCGCTGTGAATCGGCAAAGATCATACTCCCTACTGATTGCCTTACTCTAGGGGAGTGACTTTGCAGCGAGCGTATCAGACTTGCTCACACATCGATAGCAGTGGTCCTCTCTAAAACATTCATTACATGACCATTTTCCCAAAGCTCCATGGGTTCGTTACAGCAGCAGTAGCTCCCTTTCAGACATGGCTGTTTCTGTGAAGCTTTGTTCAATCCCTTATCTCTGATAAGTGATTGAAGTTTTTGCTCTTACTATGTAGATGTCATCTTGGTATCTGATCTCTGAACAGACTTTTTCAGTGGAGAGAGCAAAGAAAGGATCCTGGAGCTCCACCTGCTGGTTAGATAAGACAACATAACCTTCACATCCAATATTTCATACAACAACAAAAAACCTATAGTGAATCAGTATATATTTTATTTAACTACTGATCCTGATAAATAAAGAAAACCTGTATGATACAGCTATACATTCGCTTCACCAGTCGTTCAGTCCAAATTACTTTTTATACATTCCCATCACCCTCTGAAAATTTCTTCTAGTATGATGTACTTTAAAAGGGGCCAAGAATAATAGCAGTGTGTTGAATATAGTGTAATGCTGAAGGTTTTGCACAGTGGGCCACCTCCTCTGACCAATGACATGCTGCCGATCGAGACCCACTTTGGCAGTCCAAAACATGTCTGCTTTCTTCAGGCAAGGACCAAAGTAATGGATTATTCATTCCAGCCGTGCTGGGCCGCATTGCCTATGCAAAGACAAAGCAATTTGTGTTCTGTCCTATTCAAATTCACACCAGCGCGCTTCATTGCTTTGAACTGAATGAAGCATCATTTTGGGATTTTTCAATAAATTTAAGTAATTGCACCTCCCACCTGTGCTCGCTCACTTGTGTGAATGGGTCTCAGTGTTTGATTTCAGTTAGTAAAGCTGGCATGGTAGAGAAGGTTTGAATAGCTGGAAATTATTAGAATTCTCTTATGAATAGTTGTCTGTGACTTTACTGGAAGATTTCACTTCACACTGTGTCACTGACACCCCTTTGACACCAGGATATGAAAGGAAGGGGAACAGGGACCACTAGGACTGGAAGGTTTACACAGTAATAAAAAGCTAACTGAGGTTCTAACCTTTCCCCAGTGTATAACATTTTGTTTTTTTGTGTTGTCTAACACAGAGAATTTTCATTGTTTCTTGTCCCTCTGATTTCCCTCTTACTGGGACAGGAAACAAATGAAAATCTCCCTATGCAGCACAAATAATAATAAAAGTTTGACAGACGTTCTAGCATTACTTTGTGCAGAATTGTTACAGGTAATGTAACTCGTTCGTTCATGATGATGTTTAATGGGTTTTTTTGCATGGCACTTTTAGATCAGTGTATCTGTGTTATGTGTTATAATTAAGTTCATAAATCCCAACTCCTGAAATAAACCTTTAATTACTACATTGCCATTCTATAAAGTTATTTGTTAAATTCCAAACTGGTTTTATAACATAATTCAAGCCGCCCAATGCTCTGTTTTTGTTTTTCAGAACCGACAGCCTATAATGAATCCAATGAATAATGTATCCAATATGAACATAGCAATGAGGCCTGGGGTGCCAGCTCAGATGAGAGAACAGGTACACTTTACAAATTACAGTTACTTTGTCTGTAAAGTAGACTTTGGAAATTAAAGTGAACCTAACATCAGATTTGTTCATGTTAACTACAAGTATGCTCTGGAATGTGTAGGTGTAACCCTTACAGGTGTTTATTACATCTTCGAATAGTAGTACTAATAATAGTAATACATCTTGGAACGTAGTACTCGCCTTGACTTTAGAAGGATGGATCATTATTTGTACAGGCATATTTCTGGGTCAGCATCTACTGCCTTTAAAGATAACATAATGTAAATCCCAGTGTGTGCATAATAGCCTTTATGTCCTCAGCTATGTATGTATGTATATATAGTGTATATATATATATATATATATATATGTGTGTGTGTGTGTGTAATATATATTTATAATATTTTGCTTGCCTTTCTTTCTGCAACAGTCCTAGTGAGTGATCTGTGCAGTAGATTGTTGGTGTCCTTCGCTAAGGATGCTCTTCTTAAGCCTAGCACAACTATTTAAAGTTAAAGGGTTTATTTTAGGGATAAGGGTACATGACCATAACATAACCATATGTTAAAGGAAGGCATGCTTTTTGGATCGTTGGTAAAAATCACCTGCTTATATTGCCACTAGAAGGTGCCTTTCCGTATTTTTTTCAATGTTTGTACATTGCAAGCGTGCATGAATAAATTCCATAACACAAAGATACTGACAGGTCCCCTTTTAATGAAGTTAAATGTTTCCCCTTAGCTATGATAAGTAAAATTGTTTGTCTAGGAAGCATTTGCAAAGGAAGAGTGTGATCAATAATGTTTACAAAATGTAAAAGTTGTGATACCAGCTCAGGGTGGTGATTCACTTGTCTGTATTTTAGTGTGCACTGCTCAGTAGCTTGTATTTTATGATTATTACGTTTCTGTAATAGATTATTTGCTAACTTTTGTTTCTTCACAGGGACCCATCAATGCCCAAATGTTGGCCCAAAGGCAGAGGGAAATCTTGAGTCAGCATTTACGGCAAAGGCAACTGCAGCAGCAACAGCAGCAACAGCAGCAGCAACAAGTGCAACACAGGGCCATGATGATGAGAGGACCTGGACTGCAAATGCCACCCAATATGGTGGCTTCTCCTGCAATGCCAGGATCAATAAGCAGCCCTAGGATACCACAAGCCAATGCACAGCAGTTCCCCTTCCCGTCAAACTACGGTACTGGAATTCCATCCCCACCACCTTTCACCAGCCCTTTCTCCCCAGTGCCCCCCAGCCCTGGGTCACAGTCGCTCTCTCACAGCTCTTTGCATGTCTCCCAGATGAATCTGGCTAACCAAGGGATCATGGGGAGTATGGGAGGACAGTATGGCCCTGTCATGAATTCCCAAATTCAGCACAATGCCTTCCAGTTTGCCAGCTCAGGTACCAACTTCCACTTTTAAGTGCAGGTCTTGCTCTAACTTCTTTAATGCCGCTAGGCCTGCAACCTATTGCAAAGCAGTACATTGCAGTCCACCCCCACTTTACTGATGGGGTGTCAGCAGTCTTCATAGGCTTGACGAGTTCTTGGAAGTGACTGGGTGGCAAACAACAAACCAGTCTATGCCGATTATTGCGTGAAAGTTTTTCACTCTTGTACGTGCTAAATGAAAGTATACTGGTATGTCCCACAACTTATAGACAATCGCGTCACTAGTAGGGTAGATAAAAAGTGAGATCAAATAGAATTTGGACCCTATAGGTTACTTGCATGAGGTCTGCTGTTAAAAAAGCCCTCATTTCAACTACAATCTTTCCATAGGATTTTATGTTACCTGTAAAATCCTCTTTTTTGTGTAGAAATCTAATAGTCTTAAGACTGCTGCTGGGCTCAGTTATGGGGAATACGTTGTAATGATTAGCTGCCCAAGTGTATTTTAATGTTGCACTGCAATGCCAGATTTCATCAGCAGATGACACTGCAGTTGTAACTATTCATGGAAAATCTCTGGGGAAAAGGGAGCATCCAATATGTTACGGCAAAGGGGAGTTACAAACAAGGTTTTCTTTTCCTGGAAATCTTTCTAAAAAACAGCTTTTTATATTCCTTATCATAAGTTTGGGTTATGCAAGTTTTGTGTACATACTTGTTGGTAGGCGTTGAACCAGCCTGAAAGGAGGGAGGTTGACATTCTTCACCTTCTGAAATTCTTAGTCCTGGCTTGTATTCCTTCTTTAGTTCTTTGAGTCATTGACCCAGGCCAAGGTTTCAGATGCGAACTTCTGACTATCCTGATCTGCAAACTTATTGCACGTCGTGATTTAAAATATTGGAGCAAGTAGGGCAGCATAACAGCCTAGACAATTAGCATCTTCAGGAAGAGTCCTGCAATGGCAACTTCTGTTTACATTTCCTTCAGTTTTGCATCATCAGTGGATGCCTTTGCATCTTTGATTTTTGCATTTACAAGAGTGAAAACACCAGTATAAAAAAAAATCCAAACATCTCATTGTTCTCTTGATCCCTATAAGTACAATGTGGTTGATAAAAAAAACAAACAAACAAAAAAACAATATGTTGTAATAACTGCATGTGACTACTAACATGTCATTAACATCCATTGACTGACCTAATACATCTCCTTGACTTGTTTTAACCTGTAAATAGTAGGCCAGTACACTGAATTTGCCAAGCCTATAAACCTTAAACTAGCTGAAGTGCTTAACTCTGCTATAGCTGTGTTTCTGGTGTGGAGAATCTACCTGTTCTTTCATTAGATCACATGTTCCCTCATATCCATGCTCTTACATGTGCTATACATGTACTGGCTTGGCCTGTTCTTGTGTGCTTTTCTCTGCTGGTGTGAATGTGCCACTCGTTTGTAGTGGAGTATTATTGCTCTCATTTGTAATGTTGCAATATATATAGGCACTTGAGCAACACGCATTGTCATGTGAACATTTCTTTACTCTTTCCAAGTTATTCTTCATTCATTACACACTTACTACAGCTGTAACTCAGCCATACAGGAGTATTCCATTAAGGCAGTGAAATGAAAGGCAAGAGTTTGGTATGTGGCATTTTTAGTACAGCTTCCAATATAAAAGAATTAAAGTAAACCAAGTATACATCCTTACTGGCTTTGGGCCTCCTGTATGCAATCACAAAGGACAGCTATATAGGGGTCATGGATGATAGGGGGTCTTTTTCTCTTCCCTCTATCCTGATAAGTTAAAGTAGATAAAGGACATATATTAACATTAATATTATTTTGACATCTGTTTACCTGCCTACTCAGTATAAAGGCACAGCCTGGTCAACAGTATAATATGGAAGTATCGCACATCCATACTCGTACATAATTGCTTCAGGTCACAATAGTTGACATTAGTTGTAACCTCCTGTCATCTTTGCTTTTCGGTATGATATAATGGTGAAATGGTGGCCCTAATGTTGCCTTACAATATGGCCATCAGTCAATGAAATGCTAATCTGCGAGCTGCCAGCAAAGGGGTGGCATGTTCAATGTGTGGGTGCTGAGAAAAATGATATCCCTAAAGTCAGCGGAATTATGATAAAATGTCAGACATTCACTACATTCAGTAGGAAAGGTTGCCATATGAGTTTCTGTACATGTACAACACCTTTTATTCATTTCAAACATACCCATTCCTGTTTTGAACAATGACCTGTTTTATTGCTGCTTTGTATCTGCCTCTTTAGAGCATCACCAAGGTGGAAAGTGTATCAATGCAGACTGTACCTCCATGTGAGATTCTTGTTCCCTTCTGAGTTATTATAATACAGGACTCGTATAGCACCAACAGCTTGTGCAGTGCTTGACTAAATAAAGGGAGACCGTACCATTTATAATACAAGACAAGAGGTGTAGGAGGGTCCTGCTTGTAAGAGGGCTTAATGAATCTTACAGTAAATGTTTATAGTGGAGATGGCTGTTATATCCGTTCCCAGTGGCCCTGTCAATTTTGTTAAAAAAATGCCTCAAAATTATACTAAATACAATAAACTCAGCGGTGTTTATTTGCACTTGACCTTTGCAGCAGTATATCTGTTGCGCTATGACAGGTCCACCTTCATTTGTGTGTTACAGAATCAGAGAAGCTTCACGAAAAGCAGCTGTTCTGCAACATATTTGCTGAGGATGGCTGCACCCTCCACCCTGTACTAGGATACGCTTCTCTTTAACATTTTCCAGCCTTAAACTGTGGTACATTTTTGTGTTTCTTCTTCATGGCAGTAAAATGTGAATATTTTCCTGCTATTCTAAATGATTTGCTTACTACTAGTACAGGGTGCACATACCTGTTTAAGCGTTGGCCTTCACCAGCAGTATTAAAATGAGCTAAAGCATGGTGGTGGTTTACAGAAATTGTTTATTGCTCTACAGGAATAAGTCCCTCTTAGTCTGACTTTGGAATTGCATTGATACATCTCTCTACCTCTAGGTTCTGCTTTGCTTCTATCTTTGTTTTCATTTGGCTGCTATTAGTGGTTGCTTTACGATAGATGAATTTCTATGTGATATACTGCATGCAAATTGAAGTGAGCTTTATTTCTAAATGAATATGTTCTTTAGGAATGAGCCAGCAGTCAGACCCCGGATTCACTGGGGCAACAACCCCTCAAAGTCCAATCATGTCACCCAGAATGGCTCATACACAAAGTCCAATGATGCAGCAATCACAGGCTAACTCTGCCTACCAGTCAGCAGACATGAATGGATGGACGCAGTCAAATAATGGTGGGAACAGGTAATACGTGCGCTTCCTTATAAGTACCATGGCTGCTTGGCCAGGGTTGCATGCAAACCTTTATGTGGCATGAGATATCATTTTTGTGAAACTGCTTATTACTCATGTAAAGCAGTCTGGTAACCAGTCTAATGATTCACACACTGTGTAGCGAGTTCTCTATAGATGATACATATCTTATTTAACAACAACAACAAAAAGTGTCTCTGTGGTTAGATCTGACGCTTTGTTTTCCTGTGGTTATTTCCCATTGGGGATACTACGGAGTTTTGTGTGTTCTCCCAATGTTTGAGCATTTTCCTCCCAAAGCAGAAAAATGCAAGGGTACTTGAAATTGGCTTCCATCTTATATGGCCCAGTTGAATGTATATTTGTATGGTGGAAATAGCCGTTGGCCATGGAAGTGACAGTTGGGTAGGGAAATATATTAGAAGGTCCTTTTGGAGCAATAGGGCATAACTTCGTAATGTACTGTCGAATTTGTCCAACTTGGAAATGTGTTAGTGGAAATTCATACAGAAATATTTTTGTTTTTGGATCACGGGGGAAGGCTTTTGGTCTTCTGCCAGGTTTTTATTGCCAATATCCACCCTCACCTTTTGTGGTAATGACAGTTTGTGATTGGAAGTACATAATTTGATGGTTGACGTCAAAACAGGAGGTGTGTAGAAATCCTCTAATGGGGACACCTGTTTCAGTGACAACTCCCAAAGGTGGAATTTCCTTTCACTCCCCCTCATGTTTCTGGGACAGAGAGCAATAAACCAGATGCAGGTTCTACTTTAAATGATAACTTTTCATTGATGCAAAATGTGCACCATTGCCCCTGATTATTAATAAAATGTGCCATATCCAGAAATCTTACACAGCATAAGCATATTGAGCATCAAAATAAATAGGGCCCTAGTAGCCATGTGCCTTGTTAGTGGTTGCTGCCTTTGTACCACCCTTGTGAGACATACAGTGGATGTATGGGTTCTAAATTAATGATATATTAACCAGGAGAGCAGTCCAAGATTACGATACTGTTTTAACAGGTTTTTCAAATACCTGACCTATTAATATCTTCTTTTTTAGCATGTTTTCACAACCTTCACCTCCACACTTTGCGCAGCAAGCTGGCACTGGCATGTTTAACAACAATATGAACATCAATGTGTCTATGACACCCAATACAAGTAATATGAACACCATGAACCAGATGACTGGGCAGATCAACATGACCTCAGTGACCTCCGTGCCTACATCAGGGCTGTCCTCTATGGGTCCAGAGCAGGTGAGCCCCCCACTCCTTTTCCCATAATACATTGTCTTGTGTTTAATAAATGTTATCTGATAGCTGGCCAGGTTGTCTGCCTTCTACCTTCTGCTCTAGGCTCATGGTCATTTCAGCGACCATGAGCTTAAAACAAAAGTGTCCCCCAGACTCTGTTGAATAAATCAAAGCTGTGATCAGTGATTGCAGCTATTGGCTAAAGGTTTGACCACCGCCAGCTGCCCGTCCATCTTCTCCCTGGCTCTCTACCTGCACTGTAAGCTCTGCTGTGTCCCTCTCTGTGCCTTCTGATCCCTCTCCTCCACGCTTTCTGCATTCTCTAATCCTCATTGTCCTTGGTACAGGTGCGGAGGACAGTGGGGTTCTGTTCATGAACGGATGTTCTCAGTAGTGAGTATTATGGTGTTTGTTTGTTACAGAACAGATGGTAAACATGAGTAACATGTTTTACTATTTCTTCTGTTTGTGAGTGAACAGGTAGTGTTCTGTACTGAGAAATTCCCTGAACGTTCATGGGTGTCAAGCTGCAGAGTAGAAGAGATTGAGTACCTGGCAGTGCAGGCAGAACTTTGGTGCTGTTTTCGGCCGAAGCTTGCATTGTAGGGCTGCTGGCACTCTGTGTTCAGCCAACGTATGAGCGGTACAAGCCGTTGTATTGTGTTCTTATGCTGTATTCAGCTGACACATAGGCTGTGCAGACAACGCACAAAGAATCATGGGACATGTAGTGCCAATGATTTAGATCTCTGGTGGGTTCAGGGCATGCTCCACAACCGGACGTTCATGGAAGCGCTGATTGGAGGGAGACAGGAAAGAGCATCATAGCAACTGAATAAGAAATGAACACTCGATTTAATGCTAGTTGGATGGAGCCTTAATGAAAGTTCAGTATCACACTGAGGATATAATATTACTTTAACTATGCTGAAATTTTACACTAAGCTGCACATGTGTGGCTCAGTTTACAATCCGATGAAAATTGCTGACAGAAAAGTAATTTTAGTTCAAGAGACTCTGTATTCCTTGTTTGCAATAAAAGCCTATCTGCCAGCAATTAAATATCCTTTAGTTCCACTTTACCTAATAGTTCAGGTAGGTTAAACCCGAGATCCAGCCTTATTCCACTACAATGGATCTACTTCACTGAGAGGCTTTCTCTCCTTTGCGCAGATCACACCATGGAGTTTCTAAGAGATAGAAAGCACATCAGTTTCTGTCTGTCACTGAAATATCCGTTTTGGATGGGCTGATCCTTTAATGAAACGTATCGGATGAACAGATCTGTTGTGACATGCATTAGACTGCCACTAAGGTCTCCATGTAATCGAGCAACGTTTTAAAGACCAAAAAACCACTTTAAGTTGGCCTGTAGACAGTAGCAATGCTTGTACTGAACTATATGGCTTTTTGTCAGATGTAATAAGATACAGCAAAGTGCGGTATCCCTGTGCATATGTAGTACAACATCCAATCATGCATAAGCAGAAATCCTGTCATTTTTCATGTACATGGGTATTCAAAGTACACACGACTTTACAAAGTGAACTTTTTTTTGCTTATTTAGTAAATCAACCCCAATGTAAGCAATCTATTGTCACTTTAGTGTAGTAATTGCAGGAAAAGCTGTATTCTGGTTGGTTGCTGTGGATTTCTGCTCTTTATACCTAATCATTTGAGTTTGCCTTCTAGTCTTAACCAGACATGTACATTTCTACAAAGATAATTGTGTGTTTTAATTCTATAAAAAAACAAAGTGGGCCGAAAGTATGCAGCCTATGTGCTGCCAGACTTTAGCTATGCATGTGTACAGTTCATGAAGGAGAAATGGCTCCTCCAACTGCCTGGACTGTATGGGGATGGAGCGCATTGACTTCCTCTGACACTGACTGCAGTGCCAGTAGGGCATTGAAGTTCAGAGGAATATTGAGGCTGGGATCTGTGCCACTAGCCATTATTTACTAGCCCAACACAGACATTACCCTGCTGCTTTTCTGTGGAATACTGATATGAAGTCTGTCAGATGGAGTAAATTTTTCTCATTTCACACACTGTTAATAGAAAGCTGTTCTTTGCTTTTCCAGGTTAATGACCAGACTCTGCAAAGAGGCAGTCTCTTTCCAAACCAACTACCTGGGATGGATATGATTAAACAGGAAGGAGATGCATCACGGGTAAGGGACAGTGTGTCTTTCTATGCCTATTGTTCCCAATGTAGTGTGAAGGTGGGCTGGACCCTAAAGTTACATACAGACCACCCGCTGGGATTTCTGCTGGATTGCTGACAGCACCTCTACATGTCACCTACCTCTGTTTGCCTTTAGCTACACCCTCGCACACGCATGACTTCACCATCCAATTCTGAATCAGCCATGTGCATTTCCACCTACTCCCTCTCATTCTTTTGTTATAGTTGCAGACTGTCACTTTAACTTCTTTCTCCTTTTATACTGTTACTCTATTTCTCCAGCTCCCCTTTCACACCTTCAGCTCCTTTTCCCTATCATACTTTTATTTCTCATAGCCCACTCACATTCTTATTCCTGCTGTAGCTGCATGTCACGTATACTCACATCTATTGGTTCCTTCTGTACCTCCATCTCCCCTGTGTAGCTTGGTGTCTCACAACTCTGCTTCACCCCTTCTACCTCCTATAACGCACTGTGGGAAACTTTGCTCTTTCTCTGCATTCCTCAAACCTTGCATCACCAAGTTGGTAGCGTTGACCCTCACTTCCCACCTTCGCCCCAGTTGTCCCCTCGCTTTGAGAAGAATTGTTTTCTGTCTTGTAAAGTGAGACAGAAACTGGGGGTAAACCTCCACAGGTGGGACACAGAAAACAATAAAATTCTAAGTTCCATTAGAAGATGTATAGATTGATATATATATAATAGTTTGATCGCTTAAGGTGAGTGGCTTATCACAGGCTTCCCCCCTGCGAAACACTTTCTTGATGGTCTGGCTCATTGCACTCCACAGATCTGTCAGAAAAGGAAATCAATTATTGTACTCTGCGCTACAGCAGCTTTTATTGTTTATTAAGCAGCAGAAGAGGCACCTCTGACTTGTTTTATCACAAAACAGGTCAGAGGTGACCCCTGCTGCTACTGTTAATGAACAAGAAACGATGCTGCAGCCCGGATTATGGTGATCCATTTCCTTTTCTGATTAAAAATTGGACCGTTCCTAACCTTACCTCAATGTATCCAAAATTTAAACTTGGTTAGAGTTGCACTGTAATGCTCTGCCATACAGTATGTATCTTGCAGTGTTCTGTCAGAGCCTCCAAAGTATTTTCCTATGCTGCCTATTGGGTTCCATTATGTAAGCAGCTGTTTATTTGCTGTCTATAAATCCTGTTTATGGGTCAACTTTCATGGACGGTTTTACTGAGGGGTGGTAATGTAGGTTTCTCCCGGTGACAATGAATGTTTGATTCATGTCTCCTCTACTTGTTTACATATAACATTAACTGGAAAATTGTCTTAGGTTTTCTTTCCCCGCTTTTAATTGCATTCTACTTACTGCAATAGTTCCATGAATAATTAAATGTGTTGCAGTTATGTGCCTGTCTATGGGAAGAATAATGGTGCCAAGATGACTTTACACAAACTTTAAACTTGAGCTCATAGCACTTAACTTTCTCTATATGGCTTTGCAGCATCACATCCAACACTCGTGCTTTTGAAGGGATCCATTTTGCAGACATGCACTTGAGTTCTTATTATAGGTTAACTCTTGGAATCCTCCTTCGTCATAGAGCATAGGGCGATTATTTTCAAAGGAAATGTATGCTGGTTTGCACATATATTATAATTAAAATGTAAAAATACAAATAAAAATGTTTCTTTATGGTCCTTGAGGGACTTAGACATTTAGTAATTCTTGGACATTTGGGTTTCTTCCTCCTTCAGGAGGTTTGGACACTGGCAGCAAAATAAACTTTAAGCCAGTCTCCGTGTAACCCCCGCCTCCTAGCACCTTGTCTCCGTTTTTGTCATTGTCCTCGGAGGTTCGATGCTTTTTTTTCCCCAGCTCTGCTGCGAAAAATTCTAAGTATAATTTTGTAGATATATTGTTCTTTGGTGTCCGTGATCAACCTTTTGAGAAGCACTGTTTGAGCTTGTCTCTACCCAGCGGCTATCCAGTTTGGTGTATCCATAGCAACAGCTTTAGAGATGAAATCCAGAAAATTGCGAGATTAGCCTGGAATGTGACACAGGGCTCTGCTGTATGGTGCTTTCCAGACCACTGTGTTAGCCACAGAGCGCTTTGCATGGAACAGCCCTCTGGTGTGACCCAGTCTCTGAAGAGACACTTTGTGAGTGAGGCCACTCAGCCTGAAGTAGATTGGTGTTTGGAAACCTTATCTGGATCCCTCTGCACTAAAAGATGGAGGACTTGCCTAGAATGTAGAGGAATTTTCAAAAATGTGACCTTTTGACACTGAGTTCTGCATTGTGGCACTTTCCAGACCTTTATGTAGTGTGTCGGCCACAAAGAACTCTCCAGGTCCAGAGCCATGGCACAGCCTCGTGTGACCCAGTCTGTGAGGACTCGCTTAGCCTGCCCAGCACACCATTAGTTGAGATTCACCATTCTTTCAGGTAGCAGTTCCTCAGTAGCGTTGGGGATTACCTGTCCTGATCTGGAGCACCAGGTTGATCCTTTAGGGTCTTTTTGCTTTCAAATTTTTTTTTCTAGCCTTCATTTAGACATTGGCATTCCTTTCGATGGCTTGCCCCACCCCCCAGTTGTCCTACTTTTGGATGTTCCAAATGTGTAAGATTTAATGCACTTCCATGTGCCTCAATGGATTATAAAGAAAAATTTTTTTTTTTTTTATGTTCATTGATGGACGCAGGTCCTGCCCCTCATTGTTGGCCTTATGTACTGCTTGCTCACAAAACCTGAGGCTTGGCGGTGGGGTTATACGGGGTCTGGCTTAACATTTCTTGGCTTCCCAGTGTCCAAACCTCCTAAAGCTGCCAGTGTAACCCAAGTGTCTAAGATTTACTACATTCCTGTGTCCCTTAATAGGCTTCAGAATTCAGATTCCCTTTCCATGTTTGGCAGACTTGCCTTACCTCCTATTTACAGAAGTCAGTAGCTCAAGCTGAAATTCTCTCTGACACCTACTGCAGCCCAACCTACTTTTGGCAGAGAAGCAGTGCAGTTAGAGAAGTCTGGCAGTCATTTTTTAAAGGGTTAGCTGACTTTTTTGTTTTTTATTTTACAAAAAACACCCTCTTTAGTTACATAGATCCCCAACCGCCCACTTCCCCTTCCTGCTCCCATTTTTTTGTGAAAAGGTAATCTAACCCTTTAAGTCCTGCCCATATGACAATAATTAAAACAAAAAATCAGTAGATCTATCAAATAAACACAAATTTCACCATGTATCTTATGTCCTCTTCAAATATGCGGCAAATTTATAATCCAGTGGTTTAATGTCATGTAGTTGGCTGACAACACTGCCTCTGCTGCACAGACATCCCTAGCACTGTTATCAGCCCTGCCTGAAGCAGTAAAAACAGAAAAGCGTCTATGTATAAATGTTTGACACTATCTAATGGAATAAGAAAATGTGTTAATCTTGGGTGAATACTGTGTGAAAACCTTTATAAATAGACCTCTAAGTTTTGGATTTAGAAGAGTACCGGAGTTGCCAGCCCAATTGTAATGTGCAGTTTTTTGATATTTTTGTTTTCCAATTTTAGCTTAAACACATCACCACAGTATTGATTGTGTCATTTGTACTTAAGGCTCCCTGTCATACAGGGTTTTACGAGACTCGTAACTTTTTATTTGCCTCAATTTTAAATATTTAATGACCACAAATTTAATTTTTTTCGAAAGGGACAGTTTAATTTTCTTGTCCCCTCCCCCCCATTCTTACTTCACGTGGTTTTGGCTTTAATTTTTAATACTCATCTGTGTCACAACTAAAATACAATAAATAATTGATCAGGACCCCCATTAGCCCTCGCTTAGTTAAAACTTTAATTTTGGACAATAAAACATTGCTACAGTTGACCCTCTGTTTTAAAAGGCAATCTTCTCAGCATAGGGTCATGCATCCTTCATAAATTATGTTTACAACTCAGTCTGGCAGAGCAGTAATATTTGCAGATGAATGGATTCATTTTTAATTGGATTCCACTTTTTCCCCAGACATGTGTTTACTGCACGAATGATTCCCTTTAAATTCGTTGTCATATGGGCAAGGTCTTGGGAGAAGAGGGGATCAGACGAGGTTTTCTAATCTCTCCAAGCACATCACTCCTTGAGCAGTCTTTAAAACTCTCTGATGGGGCCTCATTGATATTAGATTTGGCTGAACAGGAAGATTATCTTTGTATGGACATTAGCAGGCACAACCTTTGTACAGGATTTGCAGCCTGCTTAAAAATATAGTTGCCTGTTTATATATTTGTAATTCTAAATACCATCTATAGCTGAGCCAAGATTTTTAACACATGACATTTTTTTATGTTGAGCTGATCACGTTCACATCACATCAAAAAACAATGTTTTTCCCTAAAGCTGAAACCTTTCCTGTTCTAAGGCAGTAACTAGAAACACAGGATAATAACTGCACTGGGTAGATGTTATCTAAATAATATACATAGAGGGGGATTTACCACAACTGGAGCACTTGCTCATAGTAACCAATCCGCTTCTATCTTCAGCTTGTTCAGTTAAGCTTTCAAAATGAAAGAGAGAAGCTGATTGGTTCTCATGCACAGCCGCTCCAGATTTTGTCTGCTCCAGTTTTGATATATTCCCTTCATCAAATTTAAATGTTTTCCAGGTGCTGTTGGTGCCTGGATTCATTTTTAAGTTGGGCAGCACGGCGTCCCCTCTGCTGCTGGACTCCAAAGCATTTCGATGGTCTGTCATAATTATAGTTGTTCTCATATGACCTGGTTCAGACTCTCAGCTGATAATGGTCTCCTGTTTTGGCTGCAGACATCTTTCCAGGCCAGGAGGTTTCTGCTCTGATATTGGAAATGTGGTTGGTCAAGGGATGCTCCCCTCAACTCCTAAATGATCTGAGCACTTGGCTACCACCCAGACCCAACCATAGCTGTCGTTTTATGTCATTTAATATTGGACATTACCCAGAGTATTTGTCACTGGAACAAATGTTGAGAAGAAATCTTCCATTGGGGATGCCTGTTCTGAAGATAGTTGTCATAGTAGATGTTTCCCCTTACTTTAGTGAGCTTTCCTTTCACTTACTGTCATCCCTTTAAAGTTAGGGGGACATCTTCCTCCATTCTGTTTAAAACAATTGTTGCTAGAGTTCCACTTTAATATTTGCAATGTATTTATTTAAATATCATTTTCTGTTTTTCAGAAATACTGCTGACCCAGAAGACTTTGAGGGTGTTTTTGTGTTTTTCCACTGACCAGTGGGAAGCTCTCTGTGGTCGTGTTTATAGACTGGTGCCAGAAGCCAGCTTAGCAGCCCCTCGTCAAGGTGACCTCCTCTGCCTCTAGGTTGAAAAGCTGAAACTGTGTTGTCCGTCGTGCAGCCCCTCCCACAGGCAATGCGGAACCAGAATATAGACAGGCGGCCGGTCTGTTCACTGCATTCACCTTAGTGCAACTTAGATACCTTCTGTGGAGTCATTATGGACAGGCGAATTTCTTTGGACTTTCTCAAATGAATGTATTTAATTGTATGTATTTAAGGAAAACTATGCGCTTTCTTTTTTATTTTATTTCCTTCCTCCCCAGTTTCACTTTTTTTTTCCTCAAGTTTTTGACACTGACACTGGTCTCTAACCTCATTTTTCTTGGGCGTTTAGCCCTGGAGATACTTTTGCTACCACATGAAGGCTTTTTTTTTTTCTCCTCTTGTTCTCCAAAACATGTCATTTTTTTTATTGGGGCGGGAAGTCATGAATTTAGGGTTGAAAGCCAGCTTGATACTAAATCACATCACAACAATGTGTGTCAGAATGAAAGGCACTGTGGATTAATTTACCGAGCATACACAAAATTTAGGTGGTACATAGAATACATTTTAAGTAGGCAGTAGCACGCCTGTCACCTGAGGCTTCTCAGTCATAGAAGGGAGTGTTTAATGTTTTCTAACGAAAAATATTCATATATATAATTTGTGAAGCAGCCTTTTGCTGCTTCCTTCATGGCTTTGCAGTGCATTACTATTACCTGTAGCTGAATGTGAGCCTTTTAAATGGACATTCTGGGGTGCGTATCATTTTACACTTTCTTTGCTAGTCCACCTTTTTTTCTTTTTCCTGAGTCTCTTAATGAACAAGTAGGTCACTTCTAGTCACTGACCACAATGCCACTCCTACCAATCGTAAAATCAAAAGTGTGAAGCCATGGAGGGGTTCAGAAAGGGTCTCGTAATAGAGCAAGCTCTCTCCCTTTGTATGTTTTGGATTTCTCTATCGTTGTTATGAACTATTTACTCGGGCCGATTCTTTATTAAGTCCAACTTTACGAATTCTTCAGGTTTAATTTTCCTTTGACAGGGTGGATTTTTTATGGTACATTTAAAATGGCTTCTGTGTAAACAAGCAATAATTTAAGTTGAAAGAGGTTTTATCTGTAATCTTTTTGTTTTGTATAAAACGTTAAAAAAAAAAACAAACCACAAATTGTTGTCGATTTAAACTTTAAAGGTACTTCAGTATTAAATAGGTAATTTCTTGACAGTGGCCGCTAAGTGTCATTAGTTGTCACAATGCCTTTGATAGATCTAGTTTGTAGGCTTTACTCCGTGTATATATACCCCCTGTGCCCTGCTTAGAACTGTGTTTTCTGCAGTGTGCCAGTGTTCAACACATCAAGAATTTTTATATTGTTTCTTAATTCTAGAGCATTGGAATGAACATTGTCCTTTTTACAAGTACCCCGCTACTTTTGGCTTTACAGACAGCCGTTTTTCAGAGCTGCTTCTATTGGGGGCGTATCATGCATCTACCAAAACTGGGGTTTTGAAAATTCTGCATTGTTCCAGAGAAACTAGTCACATTCTGTTATATTCACAAAACATTTAGGGAGACGCATTCTATGGGCTGTTAAGGGACAACGCCCCTCTGTTTTGGTCTCTTGATTTTCATTAATGTCCCCTTGTTGATAATGTGAACATCATAAAAGGGAAGAGGATTAGGGGTTTATCAGAAGTAAAGTCGTGTCTTCTGCTAAAGAAACCAGACTTCTCTCTAGATCAGTTTATAACAAACAGTCATCACCAACATGGAGATTCTTGAGCACTAAGTGAGGTGCAGTAACATGTAGCAGCCAATGACCATTCATCTTTCACCGGTTAGAAGAAAGTAAGCTGAAATGTGTTTACTGCACTTTGTGGTTCTTGGTGCTATTTGCATTGCTTTATCTGGCATCATGAACATTATATACATCAGACAGGTATCCCTCAGGTGCAGAGAGCAGGGTTACAAACTCTGCGTGCTGGCTGCTATACGTGAGCGAGTGACATTTAGTTTTGATTAAGATCTTTCATCCTCAATCGCTTATTTTCGTGTAACACAGATGTCTGAAAGCAGGAAGTGTACAAGCCAATAGGACATACAATCTAGGCTCAGTTCACAAAGCTACAAACACCAGGATAAGGATCTTTATTGTATAAAAAGTCACAGTTGTTTTCAGCAGAGTTCAATGAGATTTGGAAACTAAAGTCAAAAGCTAAAGCAGGGATTCTTATACTGGTATGTTAACTTTGTGACTTCCAGAGCGGAAGGCAGATACAGAATCTTTGTTTTGCTTTGCATAGGTAAGAAAGCTGACCAATGGCCTCCAAGCAGCCGTCTTCATGGGCTTTTTACAAGGAAGAACCTCTCAGGTTAAAATGTGAGAGCTGCTGTTGCTGACTTGTTTGTAGAGGTGCCTGCTCCAGGGCTAGCAATCTCTTCACTGATCAAATACAGCAAAGGAAGCGTCAGAAGGCCTGACATGCATATGCTTCTTCCTGCTCAAAGACTTAAAATGAAAGGGATGGATAACAATGACTGCCCTGGATTTTGCACTTTAAAATATTAGTCGGCAATGGTAGACGGCTCTCGTATGGCTATTCTGAAATCTAGTTTGACAGCTTTATGTGAAGGCTTCTTTTAGGGTACTGGAGTGTCACTTGGTGAGAACCATAAAAGCTGGGCATACAATCACGTATCTTGTCTGCAGTGTATATGGACATTGTACCGTCTGCCTTGTTCTGATCTCCGCTTGATATGAAGGTAGCATTCTGTTTGGTGGGTGTTTTGTAACGTTCCTGAGGTTACCTCATAATGTGACAAGGGTTTGTAGGGACGCTTTTCTGCAGTAGCATACATAACTAGAGGGCTGAGGAAGTGTTTTGTATGTAGAGAGCCTGCCAGTGAATCAAGGTGATCTTCCTTTGTATGCTTGCCACAACATAACATGTAAACCATCAATTGGCCCTCCCATGAACATGCTGGACTAGGGAACCTTCTTCTCTTCACACATACCCTGCAAATATTGACTTGGTTTCTGGTAGTATTTGTGGCCCTCGTAGTGCTGACATCCTGCTCGTGTTTTGGAAAATGTGGTTCTGCTAAATCTTCCATCTAGTAAAAACAAGGGGTTGACTTATTAAAGGGAGTGAAAATGTATCTGTATTATTATAGGCTGGTACAAAAACCAAGAAGTGTCCTAGAGACACATGTCAAGATTGCTTGGATGAGGCCAAGTTGCCTCGGGTTTCTTCTCCAATGTCGCACCACTTCCTTTGTTTTCCAATTTGTAAAGTCTAAAACCATCAAGGAGTTTCTGGAGGACTCGACCAATGCAATTAAAGGATGCTTGTTGGGTCTGCTCTATAAAGTGAACATTACTTTGCCTACTGTGGGCAGAAAGTACAGGTTCACTTTAATTTCCAGGCTGTGTAGAGGGCATAAGCAGACACCTGTTCCCACCTTGCCAGCCTTTCCCCACCCCTCGATCTGTCCCTGAAGAGTCCTGCAATTCTTCTGTTTGATTTGAGTCTGCAAAGCGGCCTTCTTTAGACCCATTTGGCAGCAGTTGTGCTTGGCACTTGGACACAGGGTGCTGAATTTTGGGATGGGGAACGGGAGGGAGAAATATGTTACCCTATACCAACGGATATTTTTTCCTTTACTGTGACTTGATTGGCAGGAAACGCTGGCAGACAAAGAGCAGCAGCCTATGATGCCTTGTACACATCATGGCAGTTGGTTAAAGAAATCTGTGTATGAAGAAGTTACCTCATAGCCAAGAGAATTGTTTCCATCAGGTCTCTTCCCAGCCTCCAAATACTATTTCGGCTTCAAGGCTCTCACTCGGTTATCTTGTATACTAGCTCCTCTATTCCATACATATCATTTGTGTGATTTGTGCTTGCTTTGAAATGTGTTAAACTGTTTTGTTCATATTGACCTTATCTAGTGATGTATTTGCCCAGTTACCTGGAACCCTACTTCTAATTAATGTAAAGGAAGCACAGTATACAATATCCTTATACTTCAAGGTATTCAGTCTCACAGTTTCTTCTTTATAAAGCAGCCACAGTCTGCATAGAGAAACCTACCCCCTGCTAGCAGCTGCAGAAGTGGGGCTCTTGTTCTCAGTGTGGAAGCAGTGGCCTCTCTGCAGAGGTTTGACATGCATCCTACTTAGTCAGACATATAACTGCAATCAACAAAGCTCATGCTCCTCGCTGATCGGAGAGCTCTGGCTCAACAGGGGGCATGTAGGACCTCTGCAAAAAGATAACTGCTTCCCCACAGAGAGCACGTGCCCCTTTCTGAGGCTGCTGATACAAGGATAGGCTTTTCTAGTCATGCTGTGGCTGAAAAAAACTGTAAGACTCTGAATACCTTTTTTGTTTTCATGCATCTGGAATGTATTATGCTAATTAAAACTTGGGCTATAAACCCCAACAACAATTTGGTGAATACTGCCTAACACAATCACCAAAGTATGATGGGAGTTGTAAATCCAAGACAATCGTACTTACAGGCTGCTTACACCTGCCCTACACCACATAGAGTGTGTAGCCATTAACCTAAAGTACTACCAATCATTAAGATGGCAGCTGTGAACAAACAACTGATGTAAGAATTGCTGATAGATTATTCAGGATTGGCTGGCTTGTCCCATGGTATTGCTCCCCTTCCTTTCAGTCCCTGTAACAGCCTTACCTGTGCTGTTTTTACCATTTCCATCATACTCATGGATTCATATTTTATTTAATAAGTTTGACATGACATGTCGAAATAGTGGCAAAGCTCCACTCTACAGATCCCAAAGATACAATCAGTTTTAAAACTCAACGAAAGCCATTAACTGTGTGAATAGATTTTTGTAGCGTTTGTAGCAGATTGCTGCATAAATAAATAAAAACAGCAGTGTCTGCGGAACATTTAGTGTAACTGGCTACAGCGGCCGCCCTGTCAGCATCGGGGCACCCCGATCACATTGCTAAATTCTAAACCAGTCACTGTTCTGGTGGGGCTTGATCGGTGCTGACAAAGTGTCCAGTAGTTGTTTTCAGTGTGTTTTCTCTCCTCTTCCCAGTTACTTTTGGAGACTAAAATCCTTCTAGGTTTCTTACTACAGGTGAAAATTCAAGCTATGTGCAAGAACCTCAAAATGCTAATGAAACTAGCATAATGCCTTAGATCTGTTTTTACGTCTTGTATATTCCTACGTAGCCGTTTGTT